CAGAGTGAAGGGGGAGAGAGAGACAAAGAGGAGAAGGTGGGAGAGATGTAACGAGAGAGGCAAAGAGAAAGGCATATAGAGAGGGAGGGAGGAGAGAGGGAAGGAGTGAGGAAGAGAGAGATGCAGAGGATGTAGAGGGGAAACTAAGGGGAGGAGAGGCACAAGAGGGGAGATTGAGGGAGGTGGAGAGAAGGAATGAATGGAAAGGAAAGGGGTAGAGAGGACAATGTTGGGGGAAGATAGGGAAGAGAAAGGTAGAGAAGGTGGGGAGAGATGAGGAAAGGGGAGATATGAGGAAGAGGAGAAGAAAGGGGAGATAGGAGGTAGGGGAATAAAGTTGAGAGTGGGTAGTGGATGAAATAAGAGACGAAAGAAGACAATCAACAAAGATCATATTCAATAACTCTAGCTTCAATGTTCTCTACATTCCTTTTTATCTTTTAAACATAAATCACCCCTGAAAAGTTAAATTTTCAACTTCGTTAGGAATGACAGAAGAAAAGTTGATACATAGTTGAAAGTTTTATATTATATGCACCATATACGATGATGAGAAGTGAGGTGAGGTGTTTTCACCGACATCAACTCACAGTTGATGTCGGCTGAGGGTGTAGGTGTGCTGTAGAGGTTTCGTCTTGCTCTACAGGAAGGTATGCCTATAGAGGAAGGTAAGTGTATTCCTAGAGGAAGGTAAGTGTATTCCTGGGAGGAGGGTAAGTGTATTCCTAGAGGAAAGGTAAGTGTATTCCTGGGAGGAGGGTAAGTGTATTCCTAGAGGAAGGTAAGTGTATTCCTGGGAGGAGGGTAAGTGTATTCCTAGAGGAAAGGTAAGTGTATTCCTGGGAGGAAGGTAAGTGTATTCCTAGAGGAAGGTAAGTGTATTCTGATAATTGGATGAGGGTACTTGATGTATGTCTCAGCTATGTCTGTTCTTCAACAAGGCGTTGTTGTTCAAGATATCTCTGATAGTGATCTACTTATGTGTAGAAACGTTGTGATCTTTGAAAGTCACATACTATGTTGTATGACAAGCCTGTTCCTCATACGCATCTCTGATACGCACTTCCCTCATACACGTTCCACATACTTGTCCAACATGCACACACTCACACACACACACACACCCACGTCCCCCTCACAATCTAACAGAGATCAATATCCTTCAGTTTCACCTCTCCCTCCAAGCCTCACCACTGCCCACCACTCTGCTTGGTACCCTGACTCACCAAAATAGGAACATTTGTCTAACTTTACAGAAAATAAAGTGCCATAAAGCTATAAAAGCCGAGCCAGGGAGGAAGTAAAGAAGGAAGGGGTCCTGTTCCTGAAGCAGAGAGAGAGAGAGAGAGACAGGCGACACAGAATTATATTCAGTCAGTATAAAGGATTCGTGTTCAATTTAGCTGATTCTGTCCATCGTAAGAAACAGTTGATTAAATGGATAATGATCTTGACTTTGCTGTTGATAAATGTTAGTGTCGTTTCCAGCTGATATTTTCCCCGAGTCTGTCATTAATCAGCCATTGGTCTGTTTTTTTCAACTTTCGTCTCTCCTGTCAAGGTCTTCCTTGCTTCTCTAGTTCCTTATCTTCCACCCTTTCTTTCCCTTGCATGTTCCCCTCATCCCGCGTTCGACCCCTCATTCATGTTCACCTGTCAGGTAAGATATACGCCACAGGTAAGATATACGCCATTGGCCACATCAATACGCCACTAGAAATGTAAACGCCACAGGAAATGTCTACGCCACTAGCAAAATATATTCGCCACTGGCAAGAAATATACGCCATTGAGAAGGTATATGGCGTTGCTAAGGGATATGCCGCTGGCAAAATATATCGTCACTAAAGATATATGTATCACTAGCAAGAGATGGGATGCTGACTGGGGAAGAGACGGGGTGCAGGCTGGGGAGAGAGAGAGGGTGCTGACTGGGGAGAGAGAAAGGGGGGGATGTGCAGGGGAAGAAGAAAGCGGGTACAAGCGTTCGAGGCAGAACGCCTGGACTCCCAGCCACAGTATTGCTTTCTACCCATGTGGTGGTGTAGTGGTCTAGAGTGTGGGTTTGGGTGTACCAAGAATGCAGGTTCGAATCCTTATCGGGACTCCTACTGATTTTCTGATTTTCCCATTAATACTTCACGTTATTTCTCTGTAACAGTGTAGTGCTCACCCATAAAGATCAACTATTCGGGAGAGCCCCTCTGTTTACCGGGAAACAAGGGGAGATAATAGAGAGAGAGAGAGAGAGAGAGAGAGAGAGAGAGAGAGAGAGAGAGAGAGAGAGAGAGAGAGAGAGAGAGAGAGAGAGAGAGAGAGAGAAGAGAGAAGAAGAGAGAGAGAGAGAGAGAGAGAGAGAGAGAAGGAGAGAGAGAGAGAGAGAGAGAGAGAGAGAGAGAGAGAGAGAGAGAGGGAGAGAGAGCAGGATAATGGCGTCTGAAGATGACAAATACCTTCCCAGAACCCGGCCTCCAAAGTCACAACCCCTTTGATGGGACGTTCTATATCTGGCCGCTTCGGTTCTCTTTGAACGTCTCCAGAGTTTTGTAACGAGCTGAATGAACGCAGGTGGGACGGTCAAGTGAACGTGAAGTGAACTCTCTCTCTCTCTCACACTCTCTCACTCTCTCTCAGGAGTCTCGAACGTCCTTACTCTCATTCCTAACACGAATTAACACGAAGCAAAGGGAAAAGAAAAATAGTTTCTCAATGAGGAGAATTTTATGAGATGAGTGAGGCGTGTCTGTGAAGAGGAAGAGAAGTGTGAGGCAATAATGAGCAAGGCTGTAGCTAACTCCCTGGACTACTCTGAAATCTATAATAAGGGATCAAATTCTGGGGCATGCGATTAACAATGCAAAGTCGGATTACAATGAACGGGAATAATGAGTATGTGTTGCGTATATTGTGTGGGTATGTTGGATCACCTGGTGTTGCTCGAGTATGCTGTAACAGCTAGAATGAGGAAATAGGACATTGCTATACCCAACAAACTTAGAGTATAGTATTCTGATGTAAGTTACTGTTATATGTGTTATGTGTCTGGGTTATCATATATGCGGCATATATTATGTCTACAATATATTATCCAGAGCCTTATACACATACTATATTTGCAAAGTATAGGACCCGAATATCCTATATCATAATGTATTCAAAGTATAGGATCAGAGTATCCTATATCGTAATGTATTCTCAGGATAGGACCTGTGTAATCTTGAGGTTATCTTGAGATATCTTGAGGTTATCTTGAGTCTATTAATCTATTTTCATAGTATAATTCGTCTCTTAAAGGTTATATATAATAGTACCCTTGTATGTACAAAGTTCTACCGGGTTAAGCTAATGCATTTAGTGTCAAGATTATGATATATCTAGAGTATTATATGTTCCGTATATTCGAAGTATAATATACCAAGATACGTATATAATATAGTACGCCTGAATATGTTTTCCTGGTGAGTAATTAATAGTTAGCATACTTTATGCTTAGGTGTGTTATACTCTGAATATATAACTGGTATTGAAGGGCCCAGAGGAATATACGCTAACAAAGATGTAGAATATTCACTTTACATCAGAGGTAAGCAAATTGTGGTATACTCAGAGTATATCACAGGACGGTGTGTGACCGAGTGCTGTTGACAAGGGTTTAAAACATACTTCATATCATACATGTATGTAGCGTTGTTATATGTCTCTCTCTCTCTCCTCTCTCTCTCTCTCTCTCTCTCTCTCTCCTCTCTCTCTCTCTCTCTCTCTCTCTCTCTCTCTCTCTTTCTCTCTCTCTCTCTCTCTCTCTCTCTCTCTCTTTTCTCTCATCTCTCTCTCTCTCTCTCTCTCTCTCTCTCTCTCTCTCTCTCTCTCTCTTCTCTCTGCTCTCTCTCTCTCTCTCTCTCTCTCTCTCTCTCTCTCTCTCTCACTCACTTAACCCGATTTTGTATTCTTTCTGAGCCTTTTACCAATTATCACCCATATTATATATTTACCCATTTTGTGACGCAATTTAAGTTACTTATAACCCATTTTTAAGCACATTTTGACTCATTAATACCAATCTCCACATTCTCTCTCCCAATTGACAATTGGTAAAACATTGATGATTTTCGTGACGTTGGGAACCTTTAGGAGCTCGGGCTGTACTCACATCTGTACACACAATGAATAAGAGTCGAATCAGAGGAAGAGTGCCGGAAAGAGATGATCCGAGAAATGGCCGCTGGAATTCAATTGCATAAAGTGTAAGGTTATAAAAATGAAGTCAGCTGGGCGATACACAATAAAAGAAAAAACTTATCTGAAACAACTTGAGAAGAAAACCAAGGAGTGGATATATCACTAAAACTCACTCCTCAATGAGTTGAAATGAAAACTCACTCACTCCTAAAACTCCTTCGTTACGTATAACGTCAGCAAGATGCTCTAAACACATCTTTAGAAACCTCAATAAAAAGGCATTCAGAACTCTTTTTCACCACGAACGTGAGACCATCCATTGACTATGCAGCTCCGTCGTATGATCTTCAAAAAGACCCACAAAGAAACTTCAAAAAATAAAGAGGTTTTCAATGAGGCTCTTCCAAGAATTACGTGGAATGAAACAAGAATAAAGATAATAATAATAAACGATAAACAAGATAAAGAATAAACGATAAACGATAAAAAAACACAATAAAGAAAAAGAAATAAAATTACGTCGAAAAATTGATTAGCTGAAAAAAGGAGAAATATTTTCTCAATGAAAATTATAGGTGTGAGAAATTTCTCATTTAACACAATATTAGTAGATGTAGAAGACACATAAAACAGGTAGATAGTAGAAACCATCACAATTCCCAGCTTTAAAAGTAGATATACAGCCATGTGGGTCGGGATCCATCGCCTTAGAGGACCGGTGGCTGAAAAGGCGGGGTACAAGAGCCGAAGCTCAGTCCTGCAGACAAAATAGGTGAGTAGCAATAGGTGGGACATGACCCCAGCTTCCCGGAAGTGATCAATACTTAATGCATCATCCACCTGCCTCCTCTCCCTCTTTTCTCTCCCTCTCCTTCGTTATCCACCCCTTTCTCTTCATCTCCTTCGTTATCCACTCCTTTCTCTTCCTCTCCTTCGTTATCCACTCCTTTCTCTTCCTCTCCTTCGTTATCCACTCCTTTCTCTTCCTCTCCTTCGTTATCCACTCCTTTCTCTTCCTCTCCTTCGTTATCACCCCCTTTCTCTTCATCTCCTTCGTTATCCACCCCTTTCTCTTCATCTCCTTCGTTATCCACCCCTTTCTCTTCCTCTCCTTCGTTATCCACTCCTTTCTCTTCCTCTCCTTCGTTATCCACCCCTTTCTCTTCCTCTCCTTCGTTATCCACCCCTTTCTCTTCCTCTCCTTCGTTATCCACCCCTTTCTCTTCCTCTCCTTCGTTATCCACTCCTTTCTCTTCCTCTCCTTCGTTATCCACCCCTTTCTCTTCATCTCCTTCGTTATCCACTCCTTTCTCTTCCTCTCCTTCGTTATCCACCCCTTTCTCTTCCTTTCTTTCGTTCTCTACTCCTTTCTCTTCCTATCTTTAGTTCTCCACGTCTTTCTCTTCCTATCTTTAGTTATCGACGTCTTCTCTTCCTATCTTTAGTTATTCACGTATTTCCCTTCGTCTCCTTCGTTCTCCACCTATTTCTCTTCCTCTCTTTCGTTCTCCGCACCTTTCTCTTCGACTACTTGGTTCGCCTCTTGTTTCTCTTCATTTCTTTATTTCTTCTCCTTTCTCCTCTTTCTCTTTTTTCTTATCTCTTTCTCTTCTTCATCTTCGTATCCCTCCTTTACTTCCCACTTCTTTCGTCTTTTCATTTTATCTCTTCACTTACTCTCCCTTCTCCTATTCTGCTATTATCGTCTGTTCCTTCTCTCCCACCTATATCCTTCCTTCCTT